CTCATACACACCCACCCACACCGAAATCCGCATCTAATCTACACCAACACCCCAAACTCATACTCACACACGCCCGCATCCACGCCCGCACCCAACTCACACCCACACCCACACCCACACAATCATCGTGCTCCCGTAATGCGAAATCTAGAAAAATTCACGCCAAGAATATCAATTCAAACAATTTTTTCCTCACAGAAATGTTTTTCTAAAAGTTGAAACAATTCCTCAAAAGGTGTTCTCCGATTGTTAGAACCTGTTTTGAAACGGTTTTAGTCTTTGTGAAGAAATTTTTCGAACTTTTTTGGGATCTCGCATCACTCAGGAGTGTGAATGTGGGTGTATGCATGGGTATTTATTTCACTCACATCCACACCCACACCCCTGTAAACCAGACTACAGGCTGACTTACGAAAGTTAGCCTGACCTGCCAGGCAGACCAGGCTGAAAAAAGTGATCTGTTGGCAGTTCTGATAGGGATATATGACATTAACATTAGAGTGATCACATATGCAATAGTACAAATCAAAATTATGATTAGTTGTAAAAAATAATCATTATGTGATAAGAATTCTCGAACATAAGTCGTTCGATCTTTGTGTAAATTCATTCAACATCGAATACTATGTTTCAACGAAATTATTGTACCGATTGTGTATGTATTGAACAAGACCCTATTAGGTGTAAATGGCAACACAATGTAGAAATTATATTCATGGAAAATACATCATTGATTAAGCATAATATATAACTGACTGAAACAAATATCATCATAATAATAGAAATAAGAACAGCATACCAAGCAGATAATGTACGCATCTTATTTCTTCTCTTATGTTATTCATAACATATCTTCATATAGAATTGAAAACAAATCTTAAGAAAAAACTTGATCTTTTGTTGAACGAGGGGCATCAGTGAGACATTCGCTTCATTCAACATTTTATTTTCATGAGAAAATTCTGTCATAATAGATTGTTGTTCAGTCGATCAATAATATTCGAGCACTTAAACAATTAGTTGTTGAAAAAGAAATTTCCAAAGAACATCACTTCTGTATTGTGTCAAATATTTCAGCTTGTTTGACAATTTCCTTACAAATATCATTCGATCTTGATTTAATATTTAGAGATGGAAAAAAATCATTTATGATTTTCAATGGATTGGAACTTATTATTATCTATTTTAATGAGTATTTATTCAATGACAATTCTTTGTATGAAAATAACATTATTCTAAACAATAAGTAATATTTCTTTCAAAAACTATTTCATATCGATGAACTTTTCATATATAAAAGATCATAATAAGATGACATGGTCATCTATAGATAAAAGAGAGAGATAGAATGTTAGTTCACATGTGTATTATATATATATATGTTCTTTTTCGTTATTCGAGATTAGTGTTATCGTCATTTACTATTTCAGAGATGAAACAAACAGAAAACGACAGTGTTTATGTTTATAACACGAATAAGAGACACAAATTACAAAATGAATGTAAAATTTTTTTTGTCTATATTAAGTTTTAATTCTTCGTTTATTTTTAGTAATAGGAAACAAGTCAGTTTTTTAAAATTCGTTTTATTATCTAGTTTTGTTTGATTTAGATCTTGTTTTGAAAATTTAGCAAATGAAACAATTTATGAAATATTTCAATATCTTGATGTTTATTACGTTTACGAAGGATTTTTTTATCTTAATCAACGATTTCAAAATATAATTGTTAATAAAAATTTTCTAATTCAAATAAATGTTTCAACAATGTCAAAATCGAATTTTGAACTTTATAATAAAAATATGATTGAACCAAATAAACATCGAATTAATTATCTTCGTTTATCAAATCAATTTACTATTGATATTATTTTCCTTCCAACACATATTATTTGTGATTATATTCAACTTGAAAGATTAATTCTCGATAATATCGATGTAAAATATCTTAATAATATTCTTGAACATTTAACTTTTTTACCAAAATTACATTCATTAGTTCTTACTCCTATTGATTATGTTCAAGATACAAGTATCTTTTTTATTTCTATATTTTCTTTACCTAAATTAAAATCTTGCACACTAACCTATCGAACAAAATATGATGAACAAGCAATGCCTATTTATATGACTGATTTTAAAGATAGTCCTATTGAATATTTTGTGATCAATAATCGATTTTCAATTGAATCACTTAATGATATATTTCTTTGTCTGCCAAAACTTCGTTATTTATCAATTGATTGTCTTGTTGGATGTGATGATCCAGATATTGATCAAGATCCTATTGTAACAAAATATTTAAATAATGTTTCTATTAAACTTGATTCAATCGGTTTCAATCTATTGCAAGAATTAATTAAACTTTTTTTTTATAATATTGAAATTTTACATATTTCAACAAAATTTGATCAAACATATTTAGATGGAAAACAATGGGAAGAATTAATTTTATCATCAATGCCAAATTTACGTACGTTTGATATAAGTCATGATGGTGGTACATATCATAATCAATTAACATATCATGATTTAATAAATCAATTTAATTCATCATTTTGGATTAAAAAACAATGGTTTTTTACACATCAACATGATTCACAAGAAACATTTGATAGTGGCCTTTTTTATTCAACAAATCCATATAGAAGAAAAACTTATAGATTTTATTGGCAATACAATCAACAAGTTTATTTAAATATGCAAGAAAAGAATTTAAATATAGTTAAACATGTTCATATATGTAGTAAACAAATAATAAATAATTATGTAAATTATTTTTCAAATGCAAATCAATTAACAATTGAACATTATTTTAAAACATCTGATGATTCAATATCAACAACTCTTAATCGTATTCTTCCTTTAAAACAATTAACTAAATTAAATATAAAAAGTTCAAATTTTCCTTTTGAACAAATTATTAAATTAATACATTTAACACCTAATTTACATGCATTAAAATTAGATTTCTTATATTTAAATGAAATATATTTAAAATTAATTGAACAGAATGAAATTTTTCGATATGTATCAAATACAAATAAAATTACAAATATAGATATTGGAGAAAAATGTACATTAGAAATATTTCAATTAATTATGTATTTATTTCCACAAGTTGAATATCTTAAAATTAGAATCAATAAAAAAGAAATTAATCAAATTATACGATATTTATTTTCAAAAACTACTAATAAAATACGTCGTTTATTCTTTTTGTGCATTTCACAAATATCTAAAGTATGCCTTCGAGAATTAAATTTTTTAATTAAATCAGAAAACTTACTCAATGATTATTCTATTAAATATATTAATCGTGACTTATATTTATGGTGGTAGAAATTTTGTTGTTTAGGAATTTTTTTTTTCTTGTCTATAGTTAATAGCTATTTTTCAATAAATGATGCATTCTTTGATTATTATTTTCATAAGAAGAAGAGCAAAAAGTGGTTAACGATATATTCTGAAATATAAACAAAAACGTTCAGATCATCAATATATAAAACTACAAAAAACAAATTGTTAGGGATCAAATATTCATTGCTTCTTATTTTAATTATTTATATTTGAAGTTTTCTATTGAATAATAACTTTATTTTCGTATTTTTGACTGGTCACATTAGTTACTTGTTCCAACTTTTCTCTTTGTTCATCTCAATTGTCATTGAAAAGTTTGTCAATAATCAATTTAATTTACTTATTTTGAGAGTGAGTGTGTTTTGTTTTAGAAGTTTGTAATTCTTTTATTTATTCGATGATTCTTATATAAATTAATATATTCATATAGTTTTAAGGGTAGGTGTGAGTGTACAGTATATAGAGGAAAGGGGATCAAATACACCCATATCCCATCTACATCTTATTGGTTTTTTTAATAAATAGAAAATATAAAAGATATTTCACTATTACTCTATCACTTATTAGACACAAGAAGTTTTGCCTGATTTTTGGTGTGAAGTGTTCAGATTAAGGATTTTTCCATTTGAAGATGGTGGTGTTTAGAAAAAAGAATGTTCGAAGATTGAGTTCTGTACGAATCGATTTGATCAATAAATGGTATAATCAAGAGACAAAGATTATGCATTAGTTCATAAGTCATTGGATAGATAAATTATTTTGGAATTTAATTATTAATTAATATCGTCTGAATTGAAGTCTGTCTCAATATTGAACAAATGATGTTATGCTCAACCAATCAATGTTTAAGATCTAGGTGTGGGTGTGGAATATAGATACACTCGTTAGGGGTAATTCGGATCAAAAATTAGAAAATTAGTTTTGTTTTTATTCGCTCTCAATCATTGTACGTCGTAACAAGGTGATTTTTGGAGTACAATTAGAACAAACTGTCCTCTTTCTAATGCTGAAAGAATTTTTTAAAAAGCTCCTACTGGAAAAAAGTTATAGTTAAAATGGCAAAAGACTACTCGTGCTGATCCAAATTACCCCAAATGGAGTAATTCAGATCAGTAAGTGAATCTAGTTGGGGTAATTCGGATCACTCCAGCAAAAATGTATAGAACAAGTTTTTCCATCTCATAACTCATTTTTTATCCATTAGTATATGGAAAAAAATGATATGGTTGGATAGCTCAAGGTGTCTTCTATGGGACCTCAAAATATCTCAATGAATGAACGAACTGTTGTAATATAGTATTTACAACACTGACACCTCTATTAAGCAGTTCTTTTAAGGGAAAAATTGAATTCAGGGTAATTCGGATCACCTAAGCAAAACTTGTCGGGGTAATTCGGATCACTCCAGCTAAAATAGCTGGAGGCCACTTTTGAAATCTCTGTCACTTCTACAGTGCAAATTCGACTAGTACTTCTCAAGGAAAAGTCGTTCATCTCATTGTCCTCTATCTATACGTGTAAAATAAGATGACCTTCATTAGAAACAATTAACTATTTTTCTAAATAATCGAATCGCCCAAAAAAAGTAATTTTTTTTAACATACCCCACTCTCTTTCTCAAATTACTTCACACCTAAAATAGATCGTAAGTAAAAAAAATTTGCTGTTTCAGATGCAGAAATGTTTGCGCTACAAAATGGCATGAAAGAAAAAAATATTGATGACTCATACTATTGAGTTATACTGCCATTAATCATAGGACAATATATTGTTGTATAGTAAAATTTTCATTTTATTCAAGTTTTAATCTAAATGATATAATAAAACGCCACAAATTAATTTATACAGAATACAAATATGGTTTAATTGTCATCTTTAACTATAAAATAGATTAAAACATACTGATCTAATGAATTAAAAGAAAAAGAAAACATTCGAAGCATAGAATTTGTAGGGTGTGGGTGTGGATGCTTAAGAGAAAAATTCACACGTCCACATCCACAACCTCATTCTTCGATTTCCATTAATACATCGTCATTAGCAAGTCAACATAGTACGTTTGCTTGATTTACGTTGTAGCACATGGCCTTACTCTGAACACATTTTTATCTTTTGTAAATTTGCAGCTCCTCAACCTATCTCATGCTTGTGGTCTTTTCCTAAACCTACTCTTCATTCATTTCAAAGAAGCGCTAATTATTAATCACAAGCTAATGATAGCTTATCAAATATCTGTCAACCCTTACATAATTGAGCTGCTTGAACAATAGTTTTTCTTTCAATCAAATAACAAGATACTTTCTAGAATAATGCTCTTAACAATTCCAACTTCTTCATAATCATCGAATAGCTGCTTCCAATATCTTACGATCTTTAAATATTCTATTAAATGTAGCTCTTCACATGGAATATTTTACACCAGCTGTCTAAATCGCAAAAATTCAAGCTATGTTTATTTCTATTATTTAAATGTATTTTGCTTGTTTTTTACGAAAACTCAACGTATACTTTATACGCAGTATGTTTTCTTTTATTTTAATTCATTAGATCAGTATGTTTTAATCTATTTTATAGTCAAAGATGACAATTAAACCATATTTGTATTTTGTATAAATTAATTTGTGGCGATTTATTATATCATTTAGATTAAAAGGGGTGGGGTGTGGGTGTGGGTATGGGTGGGTGTGTGGGTGTGGGTGTGGGCGTGTGGGTGTGGGTGTGGGGCGTGGTGTGGGTGTTGTTTGGGTGTGGTTTGGGTGTGGGTGTGGGTGGGTGTGGGTGTGGGTAGGTGTGGGGTGTGGTGTGGGTGTGGGTGTGGGTACATTCTTTAACCACACCCGCACTCACCCACACCCACACCCACTCCCACACCCGCCCACACAAAAACCCAAACCCATACCCACACCCCACATCCACACACCCACATCCACCCGCACCCACACCCACACCCACCCACACTCCACACCCACACCCACACCGACACCCACACACCCACACCCACACACCCACACACCCACACCCACTCCCACACCCGCCCACACAAAAACCCAAACCCATACCCACACCCCACATCCACACACCCACATCCACCCGCACCCACACCCACACCCACCCACACTCCACACCCACACCCACACCGACACCCACACACCCACACCCACACACCCACACCCTAAGGTCGAAAAGATAAATTGATTGCCGCAGGGGTATGGCACGATTTTTTTCTTTGTTTCGCGGTTTTCTAGAAACCAGGTTTTTCAGCAAAAAATTTACAGAATCGTTCCTGTTTCTCAGGCACAGTAAATTCAGTCGGGCTGAAATTTTTTCTACAGATAGTACAGATACTTTAGGATGCCTACTTTTTTTTGTTTTGAAAAATATTGTATCGCTGTGTTTTGGCGGGTCTTACAAGACAAGCACTATTCAAAAAAACCATACGTTTTTTAGGGTGCACTGGGTATTTTGGCTTTTTTTATTTGAACGGTACGAGATAGAAAGAAACCAAAAAAAAGTCGTTCCCCTAAAGTGTCTCTACTATCTTTAGGAAAAATTTCAGCCCGATCGGATTTACTATGCCTGAGAAACGGGGGCGATTTGGGGATCGATGTTTGGCCATTGTGACCCCAATATCTCCTAGAAAGAAGCATTTGGGAAGTTTGAATCTTTGACAACTTTTACTGTGCACATCGAGATATATCAGCTGTGAAATTTTCAAATTTTTCTGATGAGCCGTTCTCGAGAAACCCCGAAAAGGGATGGCCCTTAAATAAAAGACTTATAGACATATATGATCATCAATCTTATCAAAAATTCATGTTTGCTTGGACAAACGTTACATAAAATGCAATAATTTTTTTCCTTCTCTCACTTCATGTTAGAAATTTTTATGGTGACTCAACTTGTTTCGATCCATATTGACACAAAAAGGTGAAGTAATACTGTCTTCTTTTCGTTCTCATTTGTTTTTATTTTCATTTGTCAACACACGCACACATACAATCATCAGAGGTGTATTTAGCACATGGCAACGGCAATAACTGATAGAAATCTATGTGATACATGTGACAAAGCAAAAGGCATTTCTAAATGTGAAGGATGTGCAAAAATTTTCTGTTACAGTCATTTTGGAGATCATCGTCAAGAATTAAATCAACAATTAGATGAAGTTGAAGTCATTCGTGACCTCTACCGACAAACACTTACTGAACAAACAGCAGACCCACAGAGAGATGGATTGGTACAACAAATTAACGATTGGGAAAAGGATTCGATCAAAAAAATTCAAGAAACAGCAGAAGAAGCTAGACAAATATTATTCAGACATAGAAATGGACATATTAAACAAATAGAAGTTAAATTGAATAAGTTAACTGATCAATTAAGACAAAGTCGTCAAGAAAATGATTTTGTTGAAACAGACCTACATCAATGGAAAGAACAACTTTCACAATTAAGTAGAGAACTTACAAACTCATCAAGTATTATACTCCAACAAGATTTAGAACCACTTGTCACTAAAATTTATGTTGATATATCAACCAGTAAGTGTATTTGCTGTATTTATACTTCTATCGAAGACGGTGGAACCATAGCGAAATATTCTCATTTTTATATTTGTCTGAGCAACAGTTGTAGCTTACGGATCAAACTCTGAGTAGTACTTAATCGTTACAGAAAATTATATCGAAAGAAATGCAAAACTGAAAGAGAATTCTACTGCAAGAATGTTCTCTTCAAAAACGTAGCTCAAACAAGTCTTAGTTATAAAAAATATAATAGATAAGAGTAAAGAGATGAAAAGATCTTACTAAACGAAGTGATTCCCATGCGTCGCACTCTTGAAAACGAACGAGTCATAGCATAGTTGGATTATTTATAGTGTATACATATACATGAATGTTTTCGTCAAACGTATAGTCAGGTTTGGGTGGAGGCTGAGAATAGTGACGCTGGAAAATACTAAGAAAAAAAAGAAAAAGACTACGTGAATAACAGGGAAGAAAATGACAACATTGAAAAATTCCAACATACGTAAAAATAGTACTAAAGAAAAATTTCTATGTCAAATGTCACTACATTACATATTTGTATTGTAAAATTAAATCGATATTAATAAAAACCGAAGTGAAAGAAAGAAAAGTACACTTCTCGACAGGTTTGATCAAAACATTAGCATCTATAAAAAAAACATTTTTTGTAAGTCACAGAGGAAATTGTTCCATTGCATAATTGTAATGAAATAAAAGAACATATTCCTAATGCAACCCGTAGATAAGTATACCGCGAGATTATCATGATAAATTGTTTTGACGCAATTGTTCATTTCTGTTGAATTTCTGAGAACAGAACTCATTGATTCTAAATGGAAAAAGATATTTTTTACTCTAATAATTACATAGATATTGACCGGGAAAAAATCGATCAAAATTTATTATCACCAAAAATTTCCATTACATTGTAGTACCATTGGATTTCACTAATATTGGGATCAATACAAGATGGATCCAACACGGTATTACAATAGCTGGAGGTAATGGACAGGGTAATTCATTAAATCAACTCTCTTACTCATGGGATATATATGTTACTGATAATCAAACTGTCTATGTCGCTGACAGCTCGAACCATCGTATTGTGGAATGGAAATGTGATGCAACGAGTGGTCAAATCGTTGCAGGTGGACATGGACCAGGAAATCGAACTGATCAGTTGAATGATCCAAGAAGTGTATTTTGCGACAGAAAAACCGACTGTCTTATAATAGGCGATCACGGAAATCGACGAGTTTTACGATGGCCTCGTCAAAATGGCACAAATGGACAAATAATCATTTCAAATATTGACTGCTCCCGCTTGACAATGGACAACGATGGATATCTCTATGTTTCTGACAATAGTAAACATGAAGTGAGACGATGGAAAATAGGTGAAACGAATGGAACATTAGTAGCAGGTGGTAATGGACCAGGTCATCATCTTAATCAGCTCAATTGCCCCAATCATATATTCGTTGATCATGAGAATTCAGTGTACGTGTCAGACAGCGACAATCATCGTGTAGTGAAGTGGATGAAAGATGCAAAAGAAGGCATTGTTGTTGGTGGTGGTCAAGGTAAAGGGACTGATCTGACACAACTGACATATCCTCGTGGAGTAATCGTCGATCATTTGGGCACTGTTTATGTGTCAGATTATGGCAATCATCGAGTAGTGCGTTGGTTCAAAGCAGCAACACAAGCTAGTATTGTAGTCGGTGGAAATGAAAAGGGAAGCCAATTGAATCAACTTAACCATCCCACAGGTTTGTCATTCGATCGACAAGGACACCTCTACGTCTCCGATTATCACAATTGTCGAGTACAAAAATTCAATATTGATTCTTATTCGAGTTCATAGTGACATAACGGAAAGTTAATGAACTATTGCGTTTCTTCTCAATCGTTTTTTTTCTAGTAAACAATAAATTGAATAATAAAACCTTTCAAATATTAGAAACATCGACGGAAAAACAAATCATCTTGTTGCCTGATAAAGATAATTTAAGACATTTCTATTTTTGTTCGATTTGATGATATGAACATTACTTGAACAGCTGCCTTTAGAAGATATTATTATTAACGAATGCTCCAAATGTTTCAGTTTCTTCTATAATTGAACACTTACTAAAGTTCACTTTAATTAATAATTTATAATATTAAAGAAAAAAGAATTGATCTGAACTAAGTAGCAAAAAAATTTTCCAACATCATGTTTTAGATAAGAGTGTGTTAGAATATGGAGAGATACCTTCAGCTACTTTCGATGTACTGGAAACGTCACATCAATAAAGTTGTATAATTTGATTTGACTGACTGATGAAAATTTTTCTTCAACTTCTCATAAGAACAATAAATAGTACATAGTACTCTGTAACATCAATATTGAAATAAGATTGGGTGTGGGTGTGGGCATGGGTGTGGATATGGGTATGGATGTGGGTATGGATGTGGGTGTGGGTATGGGTATGGGTATGGATGTGGGTATGGATGTGGGTGTGGGCGTGGGCGTGGGTATGGGTATGGGCGTGGGTGTGAGTCATTGAAGAGTAGGGGTGAGAAAGTTATTGTTATTGTTTTTATTCTTAATAACAATAACATTAACTTTTTAATTCAAAACAATCAATGAAGCAATTCTAAGCATAGAATGTATGAACGTCAAAAGATCACTGTAGTAATATAGTATCTTTTCTTAGCATTTGATATAAGAACTTGTAGTGAATATTTTGAGAAATACTAACATAATATATTTTGTTATTGTTATTTAGCAATAACAATAAAAAAATATATTATTTTAAAATTTCTCAAAATATTTACCACAAGTTCTTATATCAAATGGTAACAAAAGATACTGTGATACTAGAGTAATTCTGTGGCGTTCGTACAAACTATGCTTAGATTTGTTTTATTGACCGTTTTGAATCAAAAAGCTAATGTTATTGTTATTAATAACAAAAACAAAAACAATAACTTTCTCACCCCTATGGAAGAGACTGACTCCCACACCCACACTCATACTCACACCCCACCTACACCGACGCTCACACCCACACCCACAATCACACCCACATCCCACATCCCTCACCCACCGACACCCACCCACACCCACACCCTCAAGTAACGAGAAGACTTAAAGAACATGGAGCTTCCCAAGCAGAAGACAACTTAGTGGTATCATCAGCTTCAGCCATCTCAATTACAGATGACCACACAATTCGACGCTCAGCTAGAAATATCGGGAAAACTGTTAACTATGCTGAACAAAGAAATATTGAAATAAATAATAAGGAGAGCACAAGTACCTTAACATCTGCACTACATAAACATTAAAACAGTACCGGACACATGATAGATTGAGTGCGCTGGCGCATTATTTCAAAAGATTCTTGACATTATCATCTTCGAGTTCGTGAGTCATTAGCAATATCGTCGAATAAACCTTCGCTCAATAGGACTCTGTCATCTGTTCCTTTGGTTGTATATCCAGAAGGTATGCGATCAACCAAACCCAAAGTCAAAATAAAATGAATCATTAGCCATGGGGGAGGGTTTATTGTTATGTCCTGATCAGTACATAACAATAAATACATCATAAGTAGAGGTATTCTAGTGTTTTCTATTCGTTGAATCCACTCGAACGTTTCTGAACATGATGTCATATTTTGCTGTAACTATATATGGTCAATTTTCTGTCTAACATATTGTCTTGATAATGCTATAGATATAGCAAAACATGTCGACTAATTGATTGAAAATTATGATTAAATAAATATAAACATAAATATGGTTAGTTTTTTTGCTGCTGTTAAAGCTATATTATTCTTGTGGATCTTATGCCAAAGAAACAATTTCGAATTTTCCTTCTGGAAAGTTATTTATTGAGAAATCTAACTGGTATAGAACCGACTTTTAATGTGAGTTTGCTTACTGAAAAATACGTGATATCAAAAATAGGCACTTTTCCTTGAAAGCAATTCGTGACAACAATAATCAAGATTTTGTTTCAACGAAGTTTTAGTGATCCTCTAAGTTTTCGTTTTTATCTGACCTGCAGTCAGTAGCGAAACGAATCATTATTCTCTTGAGAGCAGGTATTTATCGTTCGAAAAAGCTTTTCTACCATATTCTAACAGACTGCATTGTAAAAATTCTTGATACTGCCTTAACGAACAAAGGAGAATACTCCGGCGCTCTCTGAGATTTTGATGTGTAGACCTATAAATATATTTTAAATTGACTATCATATCGTTCATGCTATCACAAATTTTGACTCGCATCTAATTCAATCTATTTTAATTTTTGAAACACATTGGATACAAAGAGTCACGCTTCTAACTATATCATTTAGAATCATTGTGCTCCTTATATAGCATGCGACTAATTTGTAGTGCTTAGTTTCTGGTTTAGGCGGCGTATTGAAAATTACCTTTGGCAATTACTTAAATCTGAATCATTAAATGGACTTGTATTCATTGTAGTCATCGAACATGAAGAAGTTCCACTTTTATAATAAAAAATGTGAACTCAGAGGACACCCTCTAAGAAATTTCAAAGTGTTGAAATACTAGTCTCAACTAGCCTCGTACACTTCAGATAGACCAGAGCCTTAGTTCCTTTTTTTGCTAAAAAAAATGAAAAATACTTAGCACTAGCTTTGTGCACTTTTTAAAACTGTTCGGGGCTGATTCCCCCCTAGCCTGAAATCCTGGTTCCGCCGCTACTTAGAAGCCATTCAATTTGAATTAAATTTCATTTCTAATTAAGGCCAAGATAATGGCTAAAACACACCAGTATATTGTCAGAGCCCTATAATTCCACACTTTTATTAGCAGATGCTCCAATCACTTATGCATTTCATCTATAGTTTTCTCCCTACAATTTCTATTGGTTGATTCAGGTACCGAAAAATTCTAATTGTTTTTGTAATTGAATGAAATATCTAATTTTTGTCTGGAGATACGATGTGAGGATGCTGATGTGGGTGACGCAAGTTCATATCTTTTAGGAAAGCAATAATATTTCAAAAGAAGGGTGTGAGTGTAGGTGTGAGTTCAACAGAGGAAGAAGAGAAAAGCCACATCCACATCCTCAAGTTTTTAATGGATTAATTTTCATGAATAGATTCGTACTGATAGATATTCTAGTCAAACTTGTTTTTCTAATGCATATTTTCAAGAACTCTTCATATCAGCAGGTTTTGTTAGTTTAAAACTTCAAAAGATTAATATGAATCAATAAGTTTAATTAAGGAAATCCAATGAATTATTAGCTTTCAACTGAAGATTAAGTTTTATTTTATTCAATTGGATAATAACTGACTACACTGGTCCTCCACTCTTTCATGTCAAACAAAAGATCATCCCGTTTTAGACGATGTTCTGGAATAAAATTTCAAAAGGATCATTGAAGATAAACAATTTCTGAAGATTTCGTGTTCTATAAAAATTCTTTCAACTTTGTCTTTTAAACATAGCACATACAAACCTCGGTATTCTATAAACATTTACTTGTTAAAATCTTCCATTTATGAAAAAACAGAAGGCGAAAATTTAGATTAAGATCGATTATATCGGAACTAAAAACCGAATGAAATATTCCTATTCTAATATGGTTCTAATTCAGATTGTTCCTCCTTACAGACAGCTATTATTTTATGTCATTCTTTTGACTGTATTTTAATCACTTATAAAAAAGACAAATCAATTGTAACTGATCATTATAAATCGATTTAAATGAATTAAAGTTTTTTGAACAAAATTGAAATCGATATTAAAAGATAAAATATTGCATAAAATATGTCATTTAGTCTGAAATAACCCTATTCACATAAAATATAGATATTGCGGTTCTAATTAATTATCAACCCAAGACTTAGTCATTTTAATCTTATGTTTAGCTCAATTTTTTCTTACACTAATAATCGAACCTCAGCCATTTTTTTTTAAATAATCTTTCATTTAATAGAGATATATCAGCAAAAATCTAAATGAAATTAAAAGAATACTTTTCAAAGAGCGATATAAATTATTTCAATAATAAAATCTCATCATTTTTCGATAGATAGATGAAGAGTTTCATTTGCTAACTTTTTATTTTACATGTTAAAATATCAATAGTTATTTCATTTTAAACCATAATAAATGTTAAATGTTACTCTAATACTAAATTTATTATTCATCATGATCGACAAGTATAGAAACTCAAAATTTTTCATCTGTCTAGTTCTTAAAAAATAGTTAACGTTTTATTCATTTTCGTTAAAATAAATAAGTTCATTAAAATCAGATTATTTTTCAAGTTTTTATATAGATGTTAATTTCTAGTCTATAATATTTTTTAATAGCATACCAAAATTCATTGATATATTCTCTCCAAATGACATATATATCGATATTTTATTTGAAAGTAATCACACGCTTTTATCAAGATTTTGGATTTTGTAAATAGACATATTTTTAATATAAGAAGTGTAATCCTGAAGGTAAACGATTATCAATTAGTAGAATGATATTTATTGCTCATTCATTTTTCACTATCAGCAATGTTCATCATGTAATTATGATCATCTAATAATACTTTTGAATGAATTATTCTTGTATATGACAAACTTTTGTAACTTGGTCCATTAATAAAGTTCTATCAAATTTACGTATTTACAGCAGTTTAAAAGAAAACAAAGATTTGGATTTCTAATCTTTAATATCATTCTCTCCCAGAATTCATTCATTTTCTGTTAGTTGAAGTTCAAGCATGATTTGATCGTCACTCAAAACTCATTTACTTTGATATTTTGAACAATTTTATCTATTTTCAAAATATAAATAAAGAATACAAATTCCGTTCTTAGAAATGATAAAAAAG